GACATCCTGAGCTTTGGGGCCAACATTGTCTGTTTCCAAGGGCAAAAGTTCCCTTTCTTCTTGTTGCCATATTTAAACCCCACCCATGGAAATGCTCCAAGTCCTGAGTGATGATCACTTCCTCTGGGCAAGGGTATGAAGAATGAAAGTAAATCTAGCAGGAGGAGTAAATCCCAAAAGACAGAGATAAGTACTTGAGGTCAGAGACTGCATCTTTTATAGTTTGTCTACATACCAAACTCATTAATATGAATAATCATCTTAGCAGTAGTGGTCGTAGTAGCAGAAGTAATATAAGAAACTAGTCCTCTCCTAAGTTTTTACATCAGTTTTCATTATTTCCAGGATTTGGGAGGTCTTTTTGAGAAAGTGATGTGAAATCAAGTCTCTCTCATGTTTCTCCTTTATTTCCCACTTCTTTTTCCTACCCACATAAAATATTTTTTTCAACCTTAAAAATTTCAGCTTATAGGAGTAAAACTACAGGACACTAGGAAGAAAAATGAAAACGGTGTGAAGAAAATCTCTATATTTATCAATTTAGGTTTTCCCCCTGGGGAATTTTGGAACCCCCTTTGATACTATAAACCTCTTTATGGTTTATTCACTTGGTGTGGAATGGGATAGAAAAAAAGAGCCAGTCCATCTGGCAATATTCTTTTCAATACTCTATACCCATCATGTGAATGGAACGAACCCAAAACTTTCATTTTCAGAACTGTATCTCAGCCCCTGGCTCCTGAAGAAAACCAGTGTGGTTCAGATGTGGGATGGGAAGAGTGGTTTGCATTGGCATCAGCCTTGCGGGTGCTTTGGGGCTGGAGCACACACAGCTGTGGGTTACAGATGCTTGCTCTCCGGTATTAATGTGGCCAACATGTGAAACCATGGCACCCACAATACTACACAAAGGTCCACGCCTCTGATAGTTTGACAAATAACTCCTAGCTGAAGAAATTTCTTCCTGAAGGGCTGTAATACATTCTAGAACAGAAGGTCCTCTTTCAGAGGGCAAAGAGATGCCTGATGATGTTGGATGGAGCATCAGGGACTGTCTCATAAGGTGTCTACAGGCTTGGGAGCTTAAACCAAAAATAGATAAAAATGCTGCTTTAAACCTTAGATTCATAAATTCCAAATTTTATGCTGTGCATGTAGCAGAAAGCTTGTACACTCAAGTCATTGTGTTGTTGCTTTGGAGATGTCAAGTGCAAATTATTAGTGGTGGTTGTCATCTGGCCTGACTCAGGGTGTTTTAGAAATGTTTCCACCAATTTTTATTTCCCTGAGCTGTCCCCAAGGGTGGTAGGACCAGGGGAATCTGTACACAAGAGAAAGAAAATGAGCATGGGCTTGGTTGAGTGGTGCTTTCTTTGTAAGTTTAATAACCACGACTCTTTTCAGGATGTAAAAATTTTTGTCCCTTTTCACTCATGAGGCCTGTGCTTCCTTCTACCAAACAGTACAATTGAGGGAGCTGGGATATTTCTATCCCCCATTTAGTTAGTGAGAGTTTTCTCATTCAGGTACAAGCCAGTGAAATAGTAGCTTATAAGTATCCAGAAGTTAGTTTATTGACTCTTATTGCACTTCTGAGCACCTAATAAATAATTTATTAGTCTGATGGATATGTGGCTACCTAACTATGGGGCATGAAATATGCACTGTTTTTCTAATACACTGTAGAGAGACCTGTTTATAAAGTATTTAGTATTGGTTTTATAATGCACTGTTGACAACAGGAGACCACGAAGCTCAAAGATCAATCTCACTTTGGCCCACAGTATTAATGCTGCTTTATAAGGCTCTATGACAGGTCACTTAGAAAGTGGTCCTTACATAAAGGACTCTCTTTGAAAGGTGCACATAAAGGACTGTGTTTGGAAGGTGGGCTGTAGGTGCTGCCGGCACAGTGGAGGAATGTCTTTGTCCACGTTCCTGAGGTGACTCTTTGGTGATTGCTGATGTTGGCCAGGTGATGGAACCCATCATTTCCCTGTTCTCTGGACTAAAAGTACCAAGTTCTGCTAATGCAGCCCCTGCTAACTGGGCAGAGAATTGGTGTGACTTTAGACCACAATTCAGTTCTAGAGACAGGAATCAGGCAACAGGGAGAGGATCTTGGCTCTCTTCAGCTTTGTCTCATGTTTGTTAATGAAGTTATGTTCTTCCACATTTCCTACTATGTCATTCAAATCACATATGTGACATAGCATAAAGTATTTTGATTTTTGTTTGCTTTGGGGAATTTCCTTAGCCAGGAATAAATTCATAGATATTTAAAAAACTCTACGTAATAAGCACTTAGAATTGGGGCACTCCTAAATAAAAATGAAATAATTTCATCTAAAATAAATTCTCAGTGTTTTATTTTATTTATAAGAACTACATACTATGGGAATGCCATATAATGGCAATGATTTACAACATACTGTCGCCTATTAGGGTGTATGTTTTGGAGGAAGGCATTTTTCTCCTTTTATTAAGAACTCTCTTGCTGGTTCTAAGTATTTCACTTCCCAAACTGGGAACTCTGAACTACATTTTTTGAATCCAGTTGGCTTGCTTGTTATTTCTCATGCTTTTTCAGAAACCAAGGCTGTGTTCTTTCTGCTATTTGCTGTTTCTTTTATTCATTTCTCATTCATTCAGAGTTTCATTTTACCCTCTCCAATCCAACCAAACCTTTTCTACTCTCTAGTGGTCCTTGATTTCTTCCTATCTTGTCGCCCTTAGCTGGTAGCCTAGTCTTTCACTTTTCTAAGATGATCATTTCTTTTGTGCAGCCATCATTTATTGAGCACTCTGTTAGGCCATGGATTACCAAAGATAAACTCTGTCCCTTTTAACAAGTGCACAGTTTAGTGGGGGAGATTGGTAGTAAATTGGCTTTCTAACATCAGCGCTCTTAATATATGTCTTTCTTAACCATAGAATTTTTCTATATCTCTTACCTTGGGGGCACCCTTTTCATTTGTGCTCTTGATCACATTCTCTCCTAGGACCCTTTTATATCATATCCCCTTTGGCTTAGATCTTCAATATCTTTTTCTCTGCTGGCTTCGTCCCCTTTGCCTATGATAGTCTCATTTTTCCTGTAATGAAAAACAAACTGTCAACTCATGAACACAGCTTCTCCTAGGCCCTGCTAACTTTTCAAACCACCTTTCCCTTACTTATTTTCTTTGCAAAATTTCTCCAAAGAATGTTTTATCTTTCTACCTCTTTGTCTTTATAATTTGCTTACTTTGAGGAATATGGATTTTATATACCTAGCAGTCTACCAAGACATCTCTCTTATGACACAAGGTATAATTATAAAATATTTCAGTCACAAATATATATGAACAATGGTAGATTGAACACCTATTTACCCAAGCTTAAGAACTAATAATGTATAAATACATCTGAAGCCCTGGGTTATCACTTAAATTTATTTTTTTATTTTCTTATTTTTTAGAGATGGCGTCTTGCTCTGTTGCCCAGGCTGGGGTATAGAGGCACAATTATTGCTCATTGCAACCTCAAACTCCTGAGCTCAAGCAATCCTCCTGCCTCAGTCTCCTGAGTAGTTGGGACTACAGGTGCATGTGATCATAGCCAGCTAGTTTTTAAAAAATTTTTCTAGAGACTGAGTCTCGCGATGTTGCCCTGGCTCGTCTTGAACTCCTGGCCTCAAGCAATCCTCCTGCCTCAGCCTCCTGAGTCACTGAGATTACAGGTGTGAACCACCACACCTAGCTTCGATCACTTAAATTATGTTGTTTCATTGACCTGCTCCCCTCCCATCTTCAAACATTATTCTGATTTTGGTATTCATCATTCCTGTGCACTTTTTTGTTGTTCTTACTGTATTACTACTACTTACTACTACATTTGGTTTTACTATAATCTAAATGTAGTATTGTTTTTTAAAACATTTGAAACTCTTAACTATCTTACCTCCTGTAAACTCTTTCTTCCTTTGTCTTTTAGATCATTGGACAATCACAATGCTTCTGTTAATGCTACTTTTCCTGTCTTGTCCCTCAATAACCATTGATACCTGCTGAGATGCTCTCCTTGGCCACCTTGTTTTACCTCTTGTGTCTGTGTAGATGGCTCTCAGATTTGGACTCTTTACTTTTGTCTTTTCACATTTCAGTCCATCTGTCATACTGTTGCCAGATGAATCTTCTTAGAGTATAATAAGGATCATACCTTGCTGCTCTAGAGAAGCTTTCCATAGTTTTTGCTATTGGTGGATAACAGGATAAATAGCAGCTCTTTATAATGGACTATAGGGCCCTTACGGTTATAATAATTCCATTGACCATTCCATCCTTTCATTTGTTGTTGCTCTACACAAGTCTCATGTTCTGGTCAAGCTGGATTACTTCTCTAGTTATATTATGGGTTTTCAGTGCCAGAGCAAAGGCTGCCTTTGCTTAGAAGCTTTCTTGTACCATACTGGCTGGAAGGGATCTCTTTTTCTAAGTCATATGGAATTCTGCTGCTGCTGCTGCTTTTATCACGTTCTGTTTTTATTAAGGTTGTTTTTGTTCATGGCTTATCTCTTGTACTAGATTGTAAACTTCTTGTGAGCAAGGAGTATGTCTTAACTTTTGTGTTCCCCACAGCTTCTTGTACTTGGCAAGGTGAGGGCTGCGATCAATATTCCCTAACAGTGGTTAAAAATGCTGAATTTAAGATGACTTTCTATATAATAAATGAAAGAAGATAGAGTAAGAATTTGAGCTAGTCCAAAAGCGTATCCACTGTCAATTAGCGTATTATTCAGTGGTTCCCACTTTGTTACTTCTCACCAGGGTTTGTTTAACTGTTGGCTGCCATCACCCTTAGAAACTATTAACCCTTAAAAAAAAAAAAAAAGCATTTGGGTGGTCAGAGGAGTATGTTACATTTGCAATTTCTTAAAAACTCTTTTTTGATGTGCTCACTGCTTATAAGTAATACTGTCTGCAGGGTATATGTAATTTCCCCTCCCAGTCTTTCAGGAGGCACACTTTGTGCCCACCCCACCTCCACGTAGCCTTGATTATAAGTCAGAGGACAGGCTTAGTGAGAAAGACTGGCAAGCACATTTCAAGGCTCCAGGTTGCAGAATTGATACATGTCAAGTTGAGGTATGTTGTTCTCCATTTAAGTCACTTGGAATGCTCATATACTTTTACTGCCCAGTTAAGATCTCTCCCACCTGATTCTTTCTCCTACCCTTTTACTCTCTTCGACAGTCACCCTCATTCTATGATACTCAGATATTTACTTCCTAACACTTCTTGCCTCTAAAGAAATTGCTACAAACAGATTTAGTGGCGGTTATTTGAATTTTTTTTTTTTTTTTTTTTTAAAGAGACAGGGTCTTCTCTCTTTACCAGACTGGCATACAGTGGTGTGATCACACCTCAGTGCAGCCTCAAACTCCTGGCCTCAAGTGATCCTCCCAACTCAGCCTCCTGAATAGCTAGGACTACAAGCACGCCACCACACCTAGCTAATTTTCTGTAAGAGGTAGAGTCTGGTTATGTTACCCAGGCTGGTCTCAAACTCCTGGCCTCAAGCAATTCGCCTACCTCAGTGTCCCAAAGTGCTGAGATTACAAGGTTGAGCCACCGTACCCTATTTGAGTGATTTTTGAATGTGATAAAGAATCTACCTTGGTCGGGCGCAGTGGCTCACACCTGTAATCCTAGCACTCTGGGAGGCCAAGGCGGGAGGACTGTTTGAGCTCAGGAGTTTGAGACCAGCCTGAGCAAGAGCAAGATCCCGTCTCTACTAAAAATAGAAAGAAATTAGCCAAACAACTAAAAATAGAAAAAATTAGCCGGCATGGTGGCTTGTGAAGGCTGAGGCAGGAGGATCACTTGAGCCCAGGAGTTTGAGGTTGCTCTGAGCGAGGCTGATGCCAAAGCACTCTAGCCCAGGCAAGAGAGTGAGACTCTGTCTCAAAGAAAAAAAAAAAGAATCTGCTTTATTTTGACTTTTCTCTTCCCCCATCCCCTTAGTTTTCTTCTCCTTTATCTTTTTTCTTTCACATAGTTCTATAGCTAGTTCTAGAGCTAGTTTATTATTACCACTATTGTAGTAGTAGTACCATTAGTATCAGTAGTAGTGAACTTCTAGAATTGAAGTTTAACATACATACAGAAGAGTGTACAGAACATAAGCTTACAGCCTGATGAATTTTTACAAAGTGAACATAACTAGGACTGTCAACTAGATGGAGATACACAACATTCCCTGTACCTCAAAAACTTCCTATGCCCTCTTCCCAGTCACTATTCTCCACCAAAGGTAATCATTATGCAGACCTCCTAAGCCACTTGTCAAGTCTTCCTATTTTTAACTTGCTGTTGATAGGTTTCTGCATCTTCTGGATTTATTAATTTTGAAAACAATCTCTAAATTCATCCACATTTGCTTTGTCTCAGCATTTTCTCATTTAAATATGTATGTATATAAAATACTATCTGGTTTTATGAAGATTTTTGAAACTTTAAGTATACTGTTAATTCACTTTTTAAATTTATTTTTTTAGGTTTATGATTAGCATATAAGGCAGTATCATCTTTTGTGTTGTTTTTTTCTATCACTCTAAAGGCAGCATTGAATTTTCAGATAATTTTGTAAGGTATTGAGCCCTTCCTTACAACACGATTTTCTTGGGTGTCTGTGAATCTCTATCTTCTTTTCTGACAGCAATTTAAACTATTATTATGACATCTTTACTGAAGCTACAAGCTTCTCAATCCATAGACTCTAGAAGCAAGTAAATAAATTAATGTTATTTTTATAATCCTTACAACTTTTCATGGTCATATGAAAGCAATTACACATTGTATTCCCCGACGCCGCCCCACCCCCCCTGTCGCCCCAGCCTGGTTTTTTATATTCATTTAAGGAAAGAGATCACTGGTTCTTTTCTTCCACAAGATTTTCTCAGAAAACATTGACTATATGTTATGGTAGAAGTAAGCCACTGCCACTGTCTGCACCTGAGAGAATATCAATAAAGTTACTTTTCTATTTTTAAACCAATACAAGGTAGGTAGAGTGATCCTTTTGTAGGCACACAAGCACCACATGTACTCACCATCAAATTGGTATCAACACTTAAGTGTACATATAGTAGTAAAATTCATCGGGTGTCAGGCAGGTGTCAGGAGGGGGAGGAGGAGATGGGTATATTCACACCTAATGCGTGCGGTGCGCACCGTCTAGCGGATGGACACACTTGAAGCTCTGACTTGGCTGGGGCAAAGGTAATATATGTAACCTAAACATTTGTAACCCTGTAATACGCTGAAATTAGAAAAAAAAGGTTCACACTGACCTCAGATGCTTTTGTATCTGCAAATATCTTGATTCTAAGGATTCATTGTTTCCCTGTAGTTTCGTAAAGTACCTCATCTACCATACCCTACCAAAACCTTTTTACTTCCTAATTTTTTTATGATTATCAAAGGATTATGGCATTTAGGTATTTCCTTGATGTATTTTTATGAAACTGAGCCCCTGATTAGGCTGTCGGCAAATGCTGCAGCAACATTGATTATTTTAGTAGGTACAGACACAAGTGTCATCCAGAGCAGTTTCTCCCTTTTGCTGCAGAGGGTGAAACTTTTAGGTAGTATTTAGTTATGGGGGATGTTCATGCCACCGTTTAAAGTGCTTTAAACATGTATCCTATTCAAACCTTATATTAGGAGGTCTGTTCTACCCCCTTTTCCCTTGTCCACACAACACATAATGATGTCTTCAGTATGCAAGCTTTCTCCCTCAGCGTAGGTGATTGATTTTGTGGGGAGAGGGTATAGTAGTTATTATTATTTTTTGTCATGTGCTCTGATGTGGTGTTCCTGTGAGTAAACATCACAACATTTAGTACCCACAATACTTTGGCAAAAAATAAACTAACCAAAAACTGAAGGCCTGCCTGCATGTCTTTCTTATTTACAACTTGGACCATAATCTTGTCCCCTGAAATCTTCAGGCTGTTCTGGCTGAGGCTTCTCTATGTTGAAATGCCCATCAGCAAAGACTGCCAGAACCATTTAGAGAAGGTGTAGTTAGTTGTAAATACAAAGTAACATGTACAAGTCTAACATAGAGATGACAACATAATTTTTTTCTTCCCCCATTTGAATCTGTAAAGATCGGTAAGTGCATTTTGAATTAGTTACTCCATGAGCTATTAACCCAATCAGGTCTGAGGTTTTTAAGAGAATAAGCAATAGATGTCTCCAAAAAGGAAGACTTGTAGAAGAATATGGGTGCATAGTTCAATTCGTTCATAAATAGGCACTAGGTTAGATTCAGTAGTTGGCATGCAACCATCAATTTTTTAATCTGAATTAAAGGCTGCTACTTTTAGGTTTGGCTAGAAGCTAGATCATCTAATAAATTGAAACAAGAAAGACAACTGTTAACTAAGAAAGTAAAATTTTCCACGTTTCTTAAAATTTAAATATAGGGATACAACTAGTATATTCCAAAAGTTTTCATGATCAGACTTTACTGCTGTGGAACACTTGGCTGTTGAAAGAGGGATGTTTCATCCCTTACAAGGATGGTAATGGAAAGAAATTAGGAGCCAGTTGGAGAGCACAAGGGTTTAGGTGTAAATGATAGGTGAATCTTAATTGTGAAGATGAATACCTTTATGAGTAGAGATGCATTCATATCAGAACTTTATCTTAATAGCTACTCTTTAATCTCCTCTCCTCTGTCCCCCCTTCCAAAAAAAAAGTTAATGGAAGCATAGTAGCGTAGTATTTCATCTGTGTGTGTGTGTTTTAGTGAACTTTTTACTGTCTTTCCATCAAATTACATATGTGAATCAAGGGAAAACAGGCAATTTAGATTGTAATATAATTTTTCACAAAGGGAAAACCTGAGCTGAAAATTATTGTTAATTTTACTTTTTCTCTATTCATTTCTTTATAGTGAGTCAAAAATTTCCTCCCTTAACTTCACATAGAAAATAAAACTTTACACAATAAAGTAGAGATGGCAAGTTTCACAAGGGAAAAAGGTTGCTGTCAACTTTTTTCCTCAGGAATATGGAAATTTGAGTGGATTATCTGTTCAGAAGAAGTTTCCTTTATTAATTCTTTCTCCTTTTTTCACTAAGACATCTGTTAACATTTCATACAGCCCAACAGATGTTGCAAAGCAAGTCCCATACTTTGTTCTAAAAAAAAAATGACATTTCCTCAATCGGTTCCCCCACCTTTGTGACTGAGTCCAGTCTGCTGCTTCTGCATAATTTGCATATATTAAGTTATATACCTTAACACTATATGAATTTGTAGCTTCTGCAGTTTTGTATGGTAAAGTCTAATATTGCTAGAAACTAGTTTACATCTTGCTCTAGAATTGGGAGGGCAAAACATTTTTTTTTTTTTTTATTGAGGGCAAAACATTTTAAAAATCTCCTTTGAGAATGGCAACCTGATTCCACATATAAGACTAGATAGCCAGCTATTAACCTTTTTTTTCCTATAAAATAAATGAATTACAAAAGCTTGAGTTGTTTTGCTATAAGGAAGTGCTGATTGTCATGCGATGTGGAGCGTCATTTTTATTTATTTTGGCAAGAACAGGGACAGTTTTGTCTTGATAAGCCATTAGATGAATACCAGCATGTGTCACATGAAAAACCACTGATCTTTAACCCAGCTCTGTATTTAACCAAGCCTTGAAAATGAATAGTGAATAAAAGAAGAGCAAAGGCCAGTTTACTGTCATTACAGATTATAGAATCTGTTAACAGTTGCTGAACTGAACCCAGGGAATTACAGGTATTGTTCTATGAACCAGCAGAAGCCCTGGAGATGCTTGTTAAATTGTGTACATAAAGTATACATTTATTTTATATTTGTTTAGGATTTACATTGTTGGAAACAGCCAGAAAAAATAAAAATCCATGAGTACTTTCTCAGTGCAGTAAATGTATGCCTTTATCACAAAAACTGTGCCTATTTACATAGCACTGTCTCAATGAGGTTTTTCTGCCTCCAGTTACAGAACTTATTTTAAGAAAACAGTGTGCTTTTAATGAAATTGTTAAGTATTAAGAAGAAAAAGTATGCAATATCCCCCCTAAAAAAAAAAAAAAAAACTACTCCACAAACATACATGCAGAACAAAATCCTTTGCTCATTTGCTTCTTCAGGTATTCACTGTGGGTGATTTTTGCACCAATGTGACGTTTTTGGAAAGTGGAGGGAAAAAATCTAAAACCACCTCAGTACCCAAATATTGAAAAGATCAGTAACATTTTAAACAGTCGGTTGTGGGAATTATTGCTTACAGAGCTAACAAGAAAGAACACACTTTCTTCCTCTGCTGGTGGAATTGCATTGTGCCTCCCCATAGTCTTGTTATCCCACACTAACTGAAATGCAAATTCTTTGTAACTAATTGGATCTCATTGAGGGTACATGCACAGTGTGCAGTTATGTGCAAAAAGATTTTAAGAAGTAAAATTTTCCTGTAATTACAACTTTTAATTACTATCCAAAACATTGGCATCTATAGTACAGGTTTAGCATATGTATGTCTGACTCTTTTACAGATTACTCAAAAACATGAGTTCTGAAATGCTTAATAAAGTGTCAGCTCAAAGGTTACAGGGAAAATGTTTAATTACAGCAATCTAGAAATTGGATTTTATTATAGTCCTATGGAAAAAAAAGATTTTTTTGAGTTTAGGATTTAGTGTCTTAGAGCATACTAAAGGCATGTTAATAGTGCAGTGCTTCTCTTGGATCATTTTAAATGTTAAAACATCATCAACATCACAAATCACTTTCAAAAGCTTTTGTATTCTTTTCCTTCAGATATCCAACCTATTTTACCATTGTAAAAGGCTTTTCAGTTTCTTACTATGTGTAAATGTATTTTTGCTATGTGTTGTGGGAAGGGGAAGGCATTTACATTTCCAGGATGTCCTCAATAACCTGGGTACCATTAGACCTAGTTTGGTGGACTTCTTAATTTCCATGGTCCATCTCTCACTGGGAAAGCCAACACATGGCCTTTAAGTACTTGTGATTCTTTAACCTAAAATACATGGGATCAGTAGCAAAATGAGTACTGTGGAAGTGATGCCTGCCCTCATACCCATAATTTTAAATAACGTTCATACAAATGATTCCAGAGAGTTATTTCATAATCCGCACACTATGTAGCTAATGAAAAAACTCAAAAGACATCTTTGTGTCTTGTAGGTGTATTTTTTGTACCTATGTCTTTAAAACAATACAGGTGTCTCACTTGCTAGATAGAAAATTTCCCTAAGCTCAAGGGCTCAACACACAGTTGTTAACATGTGGAGGTGAGTGGCAAGTTTAGATCATGTATTTTGGGGATTTCTAGAGAAATCAAATTTGTCTTTTAAAAATTTTATTTAAAAATGAGTGTTAGAAACTTAAAATCTGCAGAGCACAGTATGTTTGAGGTTTTTGTTTTATTTATTATAAAGTCTTTGGATTGTTGTTTCTTTTTATAACAAAGCTTGTCTTTGTAAACTAGTCTCACAAACCAGTTAAGATTTTGTTCAACTAAATCCATTTAGCAGGTATAGTATCCTATGATATATTTGTTGAGAAAAAAATTTTTTTAAACGTTAGGAAGATATCCTGGTACTTTTAAGACTTGTGTTGTGGCAGTAATATGTAGTAATAGTTTCATTGCAGACCTGCTAGAGCAATCTCAGACCTTGATAGTTGAAAGAGCTCAGTTTGCCCATACTGGGTAGCATTTTGTCAGAAGACTGCTGGCTGGGCAGACCAGATTTGGATGTATTAGCTAGTCAGCCTAATAACCCTGTACAGACTGTATTGATTTTCTAGGAGAGAGTTTATGAACTAAATAAACTTGGGGTTGGTGTCTTAATAAACTGCTTCTCTCAGTCTGTCACATTTAGTTACAGAGCTGTGCAGTTTAGGGGGAAAAAAGGCTAATTCTGTTACAGATTGTTCACAGCAGGGTCTCCAAATTAGCCCTTTGTTTTGTAATGCCACCTTGCTTGGGCTCGCTTTGAGCACATTTCTCAGTTTTGCCCTAATGAGTTGCAACACTGATAATGTGGCTGATGATCTTTCATTGATTTCACGATCACTTGCTTGTCTGGTAATTGATCCGTTGCTGAGCCTCTAGTTAATTATATCGGCTTTGACATGGCCCGGTCCACGGGGAATTTCAAGTCTTGCAGAATAACAGTTTTAATAAAAGAGTCTATTACTGCAGGTGCTTGCTGCTGCATGCCAGTTGATTTTTGTGTTGTGTGTGTGTGTGTGTGTGAGTGTGAGTGGGGGTAGGATACCTGGGAAAGAAGAGGACTGCAGGATTGAAAGAAAAAAGACGTGAGGGCTAGAAAAAGAGGAAGAGGGAGTGAAGGAGGGAGGAAGGAGGAGGAGAGAGAGAGACTGAGAGAGGTGAGAGAGAACACGCAGGCAAAGCGATACAACAGAGCCTGAGTGGAACGAGGAGGAGGCAGCTTGCTATTGACAGTGTCCTTAAGCCTCCCACAAATAACAGCCATTAGTGGGGAAGGTCAGAAGCTGAGCAGGCAGCTTGACTGAGGCACTGAGTGCCACTTCAGAAATCAAGAGGCTAGCAAATTTTAGAGGGAGTTTAAGTGGGTAATAGCTGGCAGTAAAGGTACAGTCACCGTTGACAGTTGACTCATAGGGGCTTTTCCTGCCTTCCCCCCTCAAGAATATTTTTATTGACCATAGGTGGACTTAATATATTTTAAGGCAACAATTCTTTGGGTTCTTGTTTGTTTCCTCACAGATATTGAATTTGCTTCTTTTGAGACTTTTTTGTGCTTAATGGTGGTGAACTGGAGGGAAGTTTAACAGAAAAGCTTTCAGGAGATGTCGGTTCTAGAGGGGAAGGCACATTTGTGTCAACATAGTGTACGTTTTCTCATCTTTTCTCATTGTCCACTAATGACACAGAGCTGCCATTGAAGCTCTTTTCTGTTTCTTTTGTTGTTTCAGAGAGTAAGGTTTATTGTTATTCTTGAGTTAAGAAGGAGCAAGGAGAGTGGTACATTTGTCCTCGATATTTGTAGGTGGTTGAAGATTAATGTTCCTTACATTTTAAGTTTAGGAAGGATGGCTTTTTCCTGCTGACTACTTTATGAGATGGCATGAATTTAGCTTTCCATTTTGAAGTTGCTGCTTATGTACAGTGCCTTTTATTCAGTTCTGCTTTTCCATAAATAAGGTAGATAAATACTATCTAATAAATAGATGTTTTGTTTTAAAACTGGTTTAATTAAAAATACGACGTGCTATCAAGGCAGTATTTCATCAGGCAGGAAAATGTTACAGAATTTTCCAATAGAGATCTTGAATGAAAAATGGAGTTTTTATATTCATTACTTTTTGCCTGAAATGGGACAGGCTTTTTTTCTTCATCTTTTTCTTTTTTTGTGATTTGAAAGGATATTGCAGATGCTTCATCCAGGAACTTTAACAAAGGATTTTTTTTCCACTTTTGAACTTTAAGAAAAGGTATACATTTTTCCTTTGCCATTCAGTTTCTCTTTACTTAACATCCAGTTTAGTAATTAATAGCCCGAGGTATTAGATATTAAATGGTATGTATTTAATTTGCAAATGTTTATTGTGCATCTTCTATGTTATAAAAACTGCTAGGTTTACTTATTTACCCTTAGAGTATAAGGTCATGTCTCTATGTATATTATTTTCTCCAAGAGTTAATATGTGGTTATACATAGCCCAGCGTATACTGTATAACTTTTAGGAGCTAACATTTAGATCACAACTGAGCCAACTTTACATTCTCTTACAGCTGAATATTTTATTTTCTTCCAGTGTAATTAAAAAAATATTTAAGTATGTCAGTTCTACAGATGTTAAAGCAAAGACTGGTGTCAGCTCTTGCATGTTCTGTCAGAAAGCATTGTTGGGAAAATTCCCGGGCAAGGGCCCTAGCTTCTTCTCGCCCTGTGCACGGTGATTGTGGTGCTGCTTGGAGTGTGCGTGTATATCTGTCTGTGTATCTGGAGAGGGGTGAGTGCAGGGTGTCGTTTGGTGCCTGACAGTGGAACAGTGCAGTTGACTCCTAGCTCTGCTATCCAATGACATGCAGTGGCTGAGAGTTTGAAGCTGATGGTTGGGTCTCCAGTGCTCCTGCACACCTGACAGGCAGCTGTTAAACTGAGCAAAGGCAAGCTTGGGGAGTCACAATCTATGCATAAATGATAGGGATATCTGTGCAGAAGGTGTGAAAGAAGCTCTGACCCCCTCCCTCCCCCAAATCTCCCCCTTCCCAAATGAAATGCACAGTTCAGCCAGCTTCTTAACTACACTACACTCTTGCTACTGGCTGCCAAGAGGCTCAAAAAATCCACCTTCACTTTTCAGTCAGAAGAGGCAGAAGTGGATGTGAGAGAAAGAGAGACACAGAGAGACAGAGAGCCAAAGAGGGCAAGAGACTTGACTTTAAGAGACTCCTGTACTGACAACTCCATGCAGTTCGGAACCAGAACGACTGCGGCTGAACCAGGGTTCATGGGGACATGGCAAAACGCTGAGACTAACCTCTTATTCAGAATGTCCCAACAGGTAAGTTACTTTCTTTCTTTCTCTTTTTTTAAACTTGAATTGTTGTGTGCACTTTTGTTTCTGGTATTTTTCTTTCTAAATATTTTTAAAAATGTGATCACTTCATAGTTAGGCTCTGTTTTGTCATAGCTGTTATTGGAATGTGCAGGATTACTTCATGGTTTCCCTAAGGGCTTCTAAAAAGAAAAAGGGGAAAGGATACTAAAGTAAAAGAAAGCAAAGGCATTTGTTGCAAAGTTTCACAGTGCAGCCTGGGTCATGGCAAATCTTAATTTATTTGTTTTCTGTCAAAAAAAAAAAAAATAGCCACCACCCAACAAATGTTTCTATCAATATGAATCACTTCGTCAAAGTGTCTGCAATCTCGGGGTAGGTTCTGCAACCGAACAGTCATAAAATCTAGGGGCCCTTCACAACAGCCCGACTGGCTTCTTGTGGCTGGAAGCGGCTTGATTTCAGACCTGAGGGGAGCGAGGAGGCTGTGTAGGCTTCGCGGCCAGCGCCGAGGGTCGTTGGAGGAGTCAGCGTGGGCGGCGGGCTGCGCCGCCTCGGTCCGCTCCTCCGCGCCTCCACGCCGCCCGGCCGCCTCCGCGCTCGCCCCGCGCTCCCTTGGCAGCTCGGGCTGCAGCTCTGGCACGCCCGCTCCCCGCCCGCCCGCTCGCTCGCCCGCCCGCCCGCCGGCGCACTCACTCGGGCGCAGCCTCGGCATCTTCCCCAGAGCCGCTCCTCCGTCCCGGCCGCGCTGGAGGCGGTTCGGCTTGCTGGCTCTGTCGGGAAAGCCGACGTGGTAGCGCGAGGCCAGCGGTAACTGATAATTAATCACCGCGCCGGCGGCTCGTACCATGCGCTCGGTGATACGCGCCCTGCGTGCGGCTCCTCTTGCACAATTGCTGGCTCTGCGGCTCTGCGGGGGAGCGAGGGTGAAAGGAAGCGAAGGGGAAACAACCCAGAAACTTTCGTCTTGGACTGTGCTCAAGTGAGGGAGGGAAGTTCCCTGGTGCCTCCCTCCTAGAGACGTCTTGCTTTTCAAAAGCCTACACCAAACCCACACAAAGCAGGAGTTAGTTTGATATTATCATCCACACAGAACGAAGTAGCACTGAGAAATATACTTGGATTTTAAGTTGATGATGGTTGTTGAGAAATTAATATTGGTGCACTGATTTAAAAAATACTGCAGCTCCTTTTTTTTAAAAAACCTTTTGTTTGTAAGAGTTCACGAATATTGATTACTTTGAGTTAGATTTTAACAGTTATTGATAATGAAGGAAAGAAAACAATTTGCCAGGCAATAAACTGCTACAAGTTTAGAAATACATTTGCAAAGAATAGTACATACAACCAAGGTTTTGTAGCATTTAGCTAACAGTTTTATCACACAGTTCTAGATCGGATAAATGAATTTGAATAAGGTGTATTTTGACATATCCTGTAGAGGGACCCTGATTACTGCTGATACAGTAAGCTAGGATTTAAACACAATCAACACCAATCCAGTAAGCAGCTCTTTATGTGCAGTTTCCCATTCTTGCAAGTGAAAAGTTCATTTCCACACAGAGATGCTCCCTGTCACTGCAGAATGCTTTGAGAGGTGTTTTTCTGTGACATAACCTTGCTTGGGTGGCTCTCTTGTGGTTGGAACAGAGTGTGTTTCACTAACCTTAGTACCAAATAACTTGAGCCACACTTTTAAAATTGGATGTCACCTTCAGGGTTTTCCTTGAGTTAGTGGAGGTTTGTGTGTGTGTGTGTGTGTGTGTGTGTGTGTGTGTGAGAGAGAGAGAGAGAGAGAGAGAGAAGGGAAGATTGGTTTAGGTCTCCCTCTAGCTAGAAAAGAGTTAATAAAACCAGATAGAGATAATGATCAATTGATAAATGACTATTGAACCGCATAGATGGTGTTAGATTGCTTCTTTGGCACCAGCCCATTTCCAAGTAGATTTGAATCTAAGGAGACTTTAAGTCATGGAAAACATTTTAGCTAAAAAACAAATAAAAGTAAATAATATAAATGAAGGATCAGAATTAGGAAAATGATTTGAAATCACTCAGAGAGAGAAACTTGTGCAACTAAGCTATTATGTCTTTGATCCAACTGTTTGTGTGGTATATAAAGATCTATTTTGTATGTACCTGTGTGCATGTATATGTAATAGTGAACACCAGTGTCTATATGAAGAGAAATTTAGAGAAGCAATTTCTGCTTAATGGATGCTATATAAAAGTATATGATATTAATTATACTATTAAACAGTAGTACAACAAAGAGAAAACCAACAATTTTTTAAAAAATTGTGATTTAACTATATTTTACGATATGTTTTCTTTATTTTTTTGGTTTTGTTGTAGTTAGCGATCACCCCTACCCCACCCCCCTTTTTTCTGTCACTGTCACTAAATGTTTACCTCCCATGCATTTTTGGAAAGCATGTGAAAGAGGGTATAAGCTTACTTTTTTTTCTCTTCAAGGTGGTATTTTAGTTTGTATAAATATTGTGTAAACTTAAGTTTAAACTATGTGTATAAAAGTATGTGCTGTGCATGTTTAATATGTTTTCCTTACCTATAGTTCATCACCAATGCTGATTCCATGTGCATGTGGGCGTGTGTGTCTGTGTGTGTGTGTGTGTGTGTGTGTGTGTAGTGCGCGCGCGCGTGTCTGTGAAAGAGAGAGAGAGGCAGGGAGATACTTCTTGAAATGATACCTCCAATATCCCTTGAAGCCAACAGTTTCAAGGGATATTAGTTTCAATATACACATTAAGCCAGCTTTTGTTACAGGTAAAAGTTTGTCCAGTTTAATCAAGTATGCAGAATTTTGTATATCTCATTTCTAAGGCATAAAGTGGTTCTTTTAGATTGTGATTATTTTAACTTCTAAGTAAAATTTACTCAGTTCATGAAATGAGTAAAGTTAATTGGGAACATTTTTCTTTCGAAGTTTCTTAAAGAATATAAAAACTAATATTTCTCTGATAATTTCTTTAGCCATTAGAAAAGACTGACTAGTAGGGCTACTAGAAAAGATTTCAAAACTGAGTTATAGAGAATTCACCCACGGATATTTAACTATAGAAAAACTTGTGGAAAATGTCTCATGAATACTGAAATTTAATAATTTAGTTTTATGTCTTCTATAGGTAAACTACGAAGTAGGGATATAAAAATCTTCGTCTTTTGTTTCATATGAGCAAAGGTGGATCAGCTTAAACGTAAATCGTTCATTCTGTCTAATACTAAGAAAAAGACATCATAATCCAAAGCAAATTTAGATTTAGTGGGAATAAATATGTTTCCCTAAAGTTTGAGATAAGACTGTTTGACTGCATTTTCCTGCCTCTCCCACTACCCCATATCAAAGTATGATTTTTCTAAAAAGGGATCATTTCTTTGTATATAGACATATATTTTGAGAACCTTAAAGGGTGTGACTCTTGACTTTTGTAAAGAGAGTCCTTCTTTGGGTCAGTTTTATCAGTGACAGATGGAGAATGAGCCTTATTTTGCCTATTTTAGTCTCATGAGGTATTATTGTTAAAAGCAAGAATTAAGGCCTGCTTTTGGAAGTTTTTTTTTAAATCACATTTTAAAAGGTGATTTTTCTATTTTTATAATTATTTTGTGCATTTTGAGAGAACAGTGAATAAAATTATTATAGCTACCTCAAGGGATGGAATAGTCTAATCTATTTTAAAATCTTTCCAGAAACGAAACCATATAGGTAAATGGCTATAACCCACATTTCATACATTACTAGAGGCATTTAACTTTTATTATGGGTGAGGTTTCAAATAAAATGTAGACCCCTTAATAAGGTCTCTTTTCAGACTTGAGTGAAATACTAAGTTAGAATTATAAATGACTCTGTGCATCATTATGTAGTAATTTAGGATTCACCCAATGATGTAACAAAATTAACAACATAATTTCATTGTGAAACTGTGTCTTATTAAAGAACAACTGTCTGACGTTCTCTTACAGTTGCTTTATTTAACTTCATGCAAATATTATTAGTAGTGACATTTTTCTATTGTGCATTAGATTCTTTCATTAGCATGATGTGTTAGTTATCACCAGAGAAATCATTTCCTAGATAGGTGAGGGGCAAACCAAGAAAGCTAAAAATTAAATCAACGATTTACGTTAATACCAGAGCATCTGCTCACCAGAGATATGACAGAGTAAAGCAAACTTTCTTACTAATATAAAAATCTTGCACCTTTCAGAGAAATGATAAATAAAATATATTGTAAGAAATATATAATAATATTGCTGGAATCCATTTAAATGTCTGCTCTATATGAATTTTGTTTGAAAAGTCTTTTAGTTCTTTATGTTCATACAGGCAAACAGTTTCAGTTTGTGGAATCTATATTTTAAAATGGAAATGGTTTTGTCTGACTTCTCCCTCCCAAATAATTTGAATGTTTATTCACTAACAATTTAAAAGGCACGTATATGGTATTTCTTATGAGTTAGATACCTAATTGTATATTATGGTTTGATTCTTCTTTATAATTCATACAACACATTTTTATTCTAAACCCTGCCTCACTCAGATAGACATCCCTTTTAACATAGGATGTGTATTCTTATTTAATCAAAGCCCTGAGTAAAGCAGTTGATAGTTAATGGTCTTTGAAAATGACTTTCATTGCCAGGCATTATCCATCTCTAGTTTTCTGTCTTTACTTTTCTCTTCTCCCTCTTTCCTCCCCTCCTTATAATTAGTATGTTTTGGTAATCATGTCTTACTAAAAAAGATTAAATTAACTAAACTTATGGTCTTGAGGCTGAAATAAATATATTAAAAGATATGCAATTTTAGCCTGTTGAGTTACTAGGCTATTACATCCAATTTAGGCCTCCCTGTACTTTGAGTGATAATATGTTTTATTTTGAAGTTCAACAATAGACATATATTCAAATATAATTCTTAACATCCTTTCTGATAATGTAACACTAAAGTAGGAATATTTGGGAATTCGTTAAAGTACAAA